TATATATATATATATATTTAACTAGGAACAGAATGTGTAAATTGGATCAAATAGTTTATGTATATTATTTGTTATAAATGAGCTTTATTATTTAAAAACATACCTTCTTTTTTTAAACTATTTTCAATGGGGTGGGGGAGTAGCACTTATATTATCTGAAGAAGATGACACATTAAATAATAACACACCACACTACAACAGAAACGCTCTTAATGCGACACAATAAAATACTCCATGGGTGAGTATAATAATTAAATATGCCATATAATAAATATGTAATATTTCATATTTAATAGTGGTCATAGTTTTTTTAATCATATAATTAATACGGTGTGAGTATTATTATCTACTTAACAAAAATATATATTCACCTATAATAAATTTTAAAATGAAATTAAAATTGTATATGTTTTAAATTTGATATAAATTAGTCTTATCAATGAGTTAAAACTTATAAATCAGTTTAATTCATTAAGAGTTCAAATTAGATTGGGTAAAAAAAAATTAAAATTTTGATAAGGTTAATTTTGAATATTTCAAGAAAATGATTTGGATTATATTATATTTTTTATTTATTTTGCATTCAAATTTATTTAAATTTAAATTAAAAAATATTTGTTATTTTTTTTTGAAATTGAAAAATGAAAACTTATTATTAAGTGATTTTAGTGAGTCAAGTTTAACCTATCAACTACGTGGACCTGTCAAATTGAATTTTTTTCACTAAATAATTAGTGAATTAAATTGAGTTTCCTCACTGAATAGTTAATGTAGGTGGGGGTAATTGTTTACACAACTGCTTTACACATTTTAATTCAAATACTAATTTAAAATTTTGTTTAATATATAAAAAATTAATAAAAATAAAAGATTAGATTTATTTATCTTTAAAATCTAAAAATTAAATTGCATAAAAAAATTAAATAAGCAAATTCAAATTTTATATCTAATAATATTTTTAGTTCTAAAATTTATTATGATTGATAATTTATTAAGTTTATTATATTTGAATAGATATTGTAAAAAAAAATATTAATAGTAGGCCTTACTAAAAGAAAAAGGGGAATAATAATCCCTGACGATGCTCCGTTTAAGCAGGGCAACAAAGTTCCTTCCGTTTTGTTTGTTTCTGTCTTTTCTTCGTAAGCCAGGTAATAGAATTTTGAACTCCACCGTTTGTCTAGGAAAGAAAGAACAAAATAAACACGAGAAATGGATAGATAAAATATCTCTCTTAAATTCCAACGTTCACCTTCACTCCACACTCAACTCTCACACTCTTTCCTTACTCTTCCCTTTCCAAATCTCACACATTTTCCATTTTCCATTTTCCATTTTCGCTCTCAGTTCCATTCGCGTGTAAAACCCTAGCACCTTCGCTTCTTCATTCCTGCAACTCCACGTGCCAGATCTGCAACCGTTAAGCTATGCACACCACTGCGCATACCGCATAGCATATAGCTTCTAACAAACATGTCCAATTCTGATTCTAACAACCGTAACAGCCTGGCTCCGTCGCCGCCGGAGCCAAAGCCAATGCCGCCTTCTTCCTGGGCCAAGAAAACAGGTTTCAGGCCCAAATTCTCCGGCGAGACCAATGCCACCGATTCGGGCCCGATAACCATCCCTACGCCCAACGGCGATATTGAGGCCGGTCGCGTTCGAACTCCGGCAACTGCTAACGGCGTCGCACAAGGCGACAAGCCTCCCGTTCCGGTTCCGCCTCGGCCTGCTATGGCAAAGAAGCGGGGAGACTCCGACGGCGTGCCGAAGAATTCAATTCCTAGCACCAACGGACAGGCGGCGGCGGCGGCGGCGGCGGCGGCGGAACAGCCGCCGAGGAGAAACGCGAGGCACGAGGAAGTGGTGGACGGCTTGCCGGTGGAGGTCGACGAGTTCGTGTCAAGGCACGCGCATATGAAGTACGAGCTCAGAGATTCACCTGGTTTAGGTATTGAAATATTTTTTAATTTGGATTTGAATAATTGAATGCTCGTTGATTTGATTTGGTTATGGTTGGAATTAAACTATGATTTCGATTTTCGTATGTGTTACTGTAGTTCCTATTGGCGTATACGGTGTTCAACACTACCTTTCGATGTTAGGTTCGTTGGTTCTGATTCCGCTTGTGATTGTTCCTGCCATGGGAGGCACTCATGTGAGTTGTTTTCATCCGGCTTAGTCTGTGTTTTCGTGTTGTGTGGTGTTTGGTTTTGGTGGCGAAGTTCTTGATGTGTTAGTGAGTGTAGGAGGAAACTTCTATGGTGGTATCGACCGTGCTCTTTGTCTCGGGGGTGACTACTCTCTTGCATGTTGCTTTTGGCTCCAGGTTACCCTTGATTCAGGGCCCTTCTTTTGTCTATCTGGCGCCAGCGCTCGCCATAATCAACTCCCCGGAGTTTCAAGGATTGAATGGAAATGTTTGTATCTTTACCCTTTCGTTTATTTTTCAGAATCTAGGAATTTTATTCCCTGCAATTCCTTTCGTTTATTTTTCAGAATCTAGGAATTTTATTCCCTGCAAACATGAATTGCGATTGTTGATGCGGGATGAAGTTTATATGATTCACATATTTACTTACAAGATCAAGTATGAGCTGTCTGATTTTCGTTCAACAAACAACAGGAAATCTGACTCCCAGAAGATATTGATTGCTGTCTGTATATTGGTTTTGTCTATAACAAAGTTGTCGGGTGTTGCAGCAGTTTCTAATTTTGTTTAGTTACTCATAATTGGGGAGTTATGTCACATTTTAGATTTTCTGATGGAATGATTGAAAAAAAAAAGATGATGAGGTTTATTTCTCTATTTGCAGAAATTCAAGCATATAATGAAGGAGCTCCAGGGGGCTATAATTATTGGTTCAGCTTTTCAAGCTTTACTTGGATATACTGGACTTATGTCACTGTTAGTAAGGTATGATTTTGGGATTTTCTCTACTTGGTTGCTTTTATTTGATTTTACATATGCACAATTCAACTTTTCACCAAACTAAATAATTGTGCATTAATGCAAGTGGTGTGCTAAAAGCTGAGAAATTCACGTTACCCGAATCGTAAGTGGAACTTAGACAAAAGTGTAGTTATGGAGAGGCAAAAATATTATCGCATAAGATTTCATTTCTTAGTTTTGTTTTTTTGTTTTTTTTTTTTTTTTTTTTTTTTTTTTTTTTTTTTTT